TGTTTTTACATTTCCTACATGATACCCCAAGGAACCACTCTGAAATCATGGAGTTGTTATAAATGCAAGACAGTATATGTTGTCTGTCCACTATAGCTATGGGCTAAAACCAAGTCAGTTACCAAAGGAAAGGTACTATTTCCTGTAGGTGAAATTTCTTCTCAAACAAGACATGATTCTCAGCATCTGAAAAGACACCAGCACTGGGCATAACTGTGAGCAACCAACTGAGATTCCAGTTAACAATCAGCAGCAGGTTGCACTCTGTGTGACAGCACAGGAAGACATAAAACACTGAAGTCCTACAGTTACATATGTATCAAGCTGGGAGCAGAGGACAGCAGTAGTAGTGTGAGACACTAAGTATTTCTATCTGTGGAGTTGATATTATATTCCCATGTACAGATGGAGAGATTGAGGTTGAGAGAATTTAATTTACTTGTCTGAGAAAGCAACTTACCCATCATACTATTCAGTGTCCCACTTAAATTTGTCCTCTAATTTTCTCAGCTTTTAAGGTTTATATTATTATTCACATATACATTTTCTGTATTTACAGTAAATGTTTAGAACTCAATCAGTAGACTAAACAATTGCAACTATAATGCCAAGATAAACCCATTTTGAAATATATCCGGAAATTTTGTTTGAAGATTGAAGTAGAAGGAAAAAAGTGTGGGGTAGAAAGGAGGGGACTGCAGAGGTGGAGACACATATCTTCTCTTCCTTGACGATCTAACGAAGAGACTGCAGAGATAAGTTTGGCCTCCATTTTCTACGAACATATAAATGACTGTGTGGCTCCTGTGCTCTCACTAACAGTATCTGAAATGCACCTCCTACCCTTTTGCCACCTTCATTAGAGTGAGTGACAACCATCACTTTCCTCATATCTCATACGTTTCTTTCCATTCAGCCACACACCCCCAAGTAACACACAATCTAATAAAACAAAACCAAAATCCACTCTGCAAATAAAGCGTTGAGCAAATCACTTTAGTCTGTCCATCCAACCAGATCATCACTGCAGAATCCCCTCTATAGGAATTCTGGAGGTACTATTACCCACGCAAATTTTCTACTGCCAAATGCAAAGCCAGCTTTTTAAACATCAAGCTTCTATTCAAAAGTTCTAAAAATAACAAATATTTATTCCACAGGTAGCAGCTACCTTTTCAAATCTTCAGAGGAGTTCAGTATATTTCACTCGCTCAGGAGTTAGGGAGTCAGCCCACTCAGTCCCCAGCCACATTTCTAGACCACTGTCAATAACTGTTTCCCAACACCATCCTCTCTTCTGAAATTCACGGCATCAATTTTTACTTCCTATGTGAAATCCTTTTTGATATCCTCCTCTAGAAAAATTTCTCATTCTTATGTCTCGTTTTACTTAAATTTTACAGCCAGGCAATAAATTCGTAAGTGGAGAGGATATATTTATACATCAAACTCCTACAATCTAAACCGCAATTGCTCCCAGACAAGAAAAAAATTAAAGTTGTTCATCACCACCAAACCAGTATAACAAGGAATGTTAAAGGGACTTCTTTAAGAAGAAAAAAGGTATGGGGTGGGGATGAGATAAAAAAATATATATGAATAATAAACTGGCAATAACACATTATCTATAAATAATTACTTTAAATGTAAATGGATTAAATGCTCCTATCAAAAAACAGAGTGGCTGAATGGATAAGAAAACAAGACCCTTACAGATACTATCTACAAGAGACACTAATTAGCTTAATTTAAAACTATTCTGTTCTTTAGAGAAACAATAAGAGAAGAATGAGGGTGAGCTCTTTTAGGACAAATTTATAAGCAGAAAAATAACTACAATTTATAAAATATTTACACACTTTAACAAGAAGTACAGGAGCCATAGGTTAATGTTGCTTTCCTCTGATGACTAACTTACTTTTAAGGCAGAAATCACACATCTGAGTCTAACTACCCCCAAAATCTTAAAGATGATTATGTTCTACTTTTGTAGCAATAACAAATACTAGTATGTGGGGAGAGGGATAACATATTACTAAAAATTTGTCCATTTAATCATAATGACAGGATTTTCCCCCTATGTAACATGGAGAGAATTTCATGGTAAAATACATTAAATTAAACTTATTTTAAAAGAAATAAGATAGCCCTGGCCGGTTTGGCTCAGCGGTTAGAGCGCCAGCCTGCGGTACAGAGAGACCCGGGTTCGGTTTCCGCTAAGGGCATGTACCTCGGTTGCAGTTTGTCCCCGGCCCTGGTTGGTCGTGCGGGTGGCAGCCACTCGATGTGTCCCTTCACGTCGATGTTTCTCTCTCTCTCTCTCTTCCTCTCTCTCCCTCCCGCTCTATCTGAACAAAAAATGGAAAAATGTCCTCGGGTGAGGATAAAAAAAAAAAAAAAAAAGAAATAAGATAGTAATTTACATATTACTCATTTTACATTGATTAATAGACATTTTAATTTTCTTTTATTTTCAAGAAAAGGGAACCCACGCTCTGGGAGAACATATTTGCCAATGATACATCAGATAAGGGGGTAATTTCCAAAATATATAGAGTACTCATAGAACTCAACAAAAGGAAGACAAACAGTCCAATTAAAAAATGGGCAGGGGACCTGAACAGACACTTCTCCAAACAGGACAACAAAAGGCCAGGAGACATATGAAAAAATGCTCATCATCTCTAATCATCAAAGAGATGCAAATTAAAACGACTATGAGGTATCACCTCACACATACCAGAATGGCGGCCATCAACAAACCCTCAAACAACAAATGCTGGTGAGGATGTGGAGAAAAGGGTACCCTAGCACACAGCTGGTGGGAATGCAGACTGGTGCAGCCACTCTGGAAAACAATATGGTGTTTCTTAAAAAAATTAAAAATGGAACTGCCATTTGACCCAGTGATCCCAATTCTTGGAATATACCCTAAGAAGCCTGAAACACCATTCAGGAAGAATATATGCACCCCTGTACTCATAGCAGCACTACTTACAATAGCTAAGATCTGCAAACAACCCAAGTGCCCATCAGTAGATGAGTGGATAAAAAAACTGTGGTACATTTATGCAATGGAATATTATACAGCTGTAAAAAAAAACACACACAGAAATCTCTTACCCTTTGAGATGACATGGAGTGACCTGAAGAGTATTATGCTAAACAAAATAAGCCAGTCAGAGAAAGACAAGTACCACATGATCTCACTTATTTGTGAACATAAAGAACAAAATAAGCTGTTGATCAAAAGAGATCCAGAATCATGGAAGTAGGGAATACACTGACAAACCTCAGAGGGATGGAGGGTGGGAGGGGAGGGAAGAGATACGTCAAAGAACTTATATGCACATATGCACAACTAATCGACATGGACACTAGGCTGGGGAAGGCAGGAGAGAGGTGGGAGTGGGAAGGAAGGGGCTAATGGGAAATATAGGGGGGCATCTGTAATACTTTTAACAATAAAAAAAAAGTGTTAAAAAATATTTTTCATCAATATTAGTAACACCAGTAATTAGCACTTGAAAATTTTCCAACAGAAACAAGTGTCACAGACTAGCCACAGACTTAACACTAGGAACGAAGTCACAGTTATCATCAAGTATATTTTCATCTTTCAGTAGGTATTACTTTATATAGTGTTTAACATCAAAAGAGCCTGGGTGCACTGTATGCAGGTTTATCCACTACAGGTTATAACTTTCAGAAGAATATGAAATAAATATCAGAAACTTCCCAGATGCCTTATAAGTAACCACTGTATTTTAAAATCTAAAGTTTAAACAAACCAGAATTTAGTGCTATGATATGACCAAAAAATCATAAAAGCATAACCTAAAGAATAAAAATACGTTTAGAAAAATCAAGAATAAATCACTAGTAATCACACTAATTACACATTTAACTTCTTAGAAAATAGGTAAATTACATAACATACTTTAAAAATATCCATGAGATATATGGCATTAGATGTGCACTTTCAAATTCTAAAATAACTAGCAATTTCACCCTCAAATATAAAATTTTACTTGTTATTAAAATGTGATCAATGTCTAAACAAATGCCAACATACGATCTGAGAAAGCAAGGACTGAACACACAACAGGAAGGGGCATATCTGACCCTTTGCCCCTACCCCAGGTACACAGAGACAGATGTCAAGAATCAATCAGTGTATTCTTTCACCCTGCACTGGGAACCATTTCCAGAAACAGCACTTCAGGTAGCCGCTACAAAGATACCACAGATCCAGTATTAAATCAAACCTCTGTTCTCTCCCTAATCCAGTATTTTAGTGGCCTGAAACATTTAAATGGACTTTTAGACAATTATTTTAAAATCAGAAATGATTATATTTCCATGTTATTTAGAATTTTTGTAATTAGGAAATGGATTCAATCAATTTTTCACTTCAGACAAAAAGAGTTAAGAGCCATATGATCTCACTTATATGTGGCATATGAAACTAAAAGCAGCAAATAAACAAACAAAAACTCATAGACACGGGAACAGTATGGTGGTTACCAGAGGGAAGGGGGTAGCAGCGGGTAGTAAAGTGTAGAGGGAGTCAAATATATGGTGACAGAAGAAGATTAGACTTTAGGTGGTGGGCACACAATGCAATAAACAGATGATGTAGCACAGAATTGTACACTTGAAACCTATATAACCTTATTAATCATTGTCACCCCAATACATTTAATTTTTAAAAAGCAGTCTCTATTGCTGAAACACCATGACAAAACTAAATGAATGCATGGCAGAGTATGCCATAAGAGCTACAGTGAACAGACTTGGGTCATTAGTAAGAATACTGATAAAACATTATAAGTAAATACCCTTTTTAATATAAGCAATGCATTCTTTCATTCTCTGCTCTTTAAGGTAGGAGAGTGATATGAGACATGAAAGGTCCTGGATTTTCATGGATCAACAACAAAATCTAGAGTGAAGGGTTGATTTATAGCATTAGCAAAGATACCAAACGTCACACTTACTTTTGCAAAGGCTTCAAAAATGTCAAAGGAAGGTGGCAGCTGAGAAGCATCTTGTATTTCTTCTCTCATGAAATGTTGAAATGTCATTGCAAGTTGCCTGAGACCCTCTTTCTTATCTTCAGTCAGTTTACTAATATCTTTTTTAAAGAGAAAATAAATAGCACAATCACACAGTGAACTTTTAATGGATAATATTCAGGTGTTCAAAGGTAACTGTTAAACTAGATATTTCCTGCCCTAGATTCCATTCAGACAGAGAGCACTTTTTTTTTTTGCCAGCTACAAATCATGATATATACATTAGCAATGCCAAGTTCATCTACACTATAAGATCAAACACCTATGAAAATAAAATACACATACAGATGAAAAAACATCAGAAACAAAAATCAGTAAAGATGTGTGTTACCAGATTTTCTACATCATCCTATACACATGTTCAAACCATTATAAATGCTTATTAAATCAGTGAATGTAACAGACTTTTCTATAAAACAATTTACAAGGTCATGGCTAACTGAGAAACATATCTCACAAGAAAAAAAAAAGAGAAAGTGAGAACTAAAAAGTTCAGCTGAAGTTCAAATTGGTAAAATTTGTTATTAGAAAGTACATCAACAAGAAAACATGGATCAACCAAAGAAATCTCAACTTCAAGTTATTTCTTGATTGAATAAATGAGATACGCTGCTGTTTCAACTGAAACAGAAGGAGAATGTTCTAAAGCCAATATTACCTTTTTAAAAACTCAGTTTAATTTATACCATAAAGGAGTGTTAAGGTTAAGAATGCACAATTCAATTAATAACATTTAAGAGCATTTCACTTAAGGCAGTGTGTAAGCTACTGAGCAAGGTTAATGTTAATAGTGAAACTCACTCCAAGAGATGTTAATTATTTAGCAGTGGTGTATCAAGAAAAAAATGACTAATTAGTTCTCTATTAAAACTTGAAAAGATACATCAGTTGAACTATATACAGCATAACTCTAGCTCATGTCAGGTCTACACATTTTCTTTAAATTATTTATTCAATGTAACAACTCAATGATTTTTTTTTTTCTTTTTTATATTGTGGTAAAATATACATAAAATTTACCATCTTAACCATTTTTAAGTGTACAGTTCAGCAGTAGCAAATACACTCACATTGTTATGCAAACATCACCACCATCCATCTCTAAGTTTTTCATCTTGTAAAACAAACTCTATACGCATTAACCAGTAACTTCCCATTCATCCCTCCCCATAGCTCCTGGTAACCACCATTTTACTTTCTGTCTTTATGATTTTGACTATAGTATTTCATATAATTAGAATCCTATAGTATTTTTGTCTTTCTTTGTATTTCATGCAGTATAATGTCCTCAAGTTTCATCCATGTTATAATATGTATCAGGGTTTCCTTCTTTTTTAAGGCTGAATAACACTCCATTGTGTATGTATATAACACACTTTGCTTATCTATCCGTCCATTGATGGACACTTGGGATGCTTCCATGTTTTAGCTATTGTGACAAATACTGCTATAAATATGGATGAATAAATATTTGCTTTCAGCTCATTTGAGTGTATAACTAGAATCCAGGGTCATATGGTAATTCTATTTTTAATTTTCGAGACACCTCCATACTATTTGCCATAGCAGCCATACCATTCTACATTCCTACTGACAGTGTACAAGGGTTCCAATTTCTCCATATCCTGACCAACATTTTTTGTTTTCTCTTTTTTTATAGTTGTCATCCTAATGGATGTGAGATGATTATCTCACTGCCGTTCTGATTTGTGCTTATTAGCTAATAATTTATTATCATTGGCACTTAGGGTGCCATAACCATAAATCTGTACTAGATTTTCTCCACCCAGAAATATTAAACTGTTTAGCAAATTTACTCTATAAGCTCTCACTAGTTTTGGGTTGAAGTCATTCACAACCTCAATGAAGAAGGTCTGTGGCAATATGAAAGAAAAATAAACCCTATATTTGCTTTACATTTGTGAAGCGTTTCATGGTTGCCAAGTAGCCTGCCTGGCCATCAGGAGGAGAACAATGCTCAGTGCTGTCAGAAAATTAAGTCATCTGTATTTCTAAATGTCCCCTGCAACACCGCAACTGACCCCATTCATATCACTGTTCCCTGACATCAAGAAAAAAAACAAGACTGGGAAGAAGAGAATAAGGGAGGGAGAAACAGAAGAAAAATTATTTGTCAACCGGACTAGGGTTATACTCACCTCACTGCTAACCCAACACTTTACAAACTCCTATATGGCCAAAGCTACCCCAGAATAAATTAAATAAGCTAATGTTCAATTTTCCTCACATAACAGAGAGGGGGGAAAAAAGCAATTCACCAGCTCAGCAAATAAATGACAGAAATTTTTTTAAAAGATACTAATAGACAATCACTTACTTGATTCCAGATCATAAAACGAGTAAAGTTTCTCCGATTCAGAGGGGGTTTCTTCCATCTATGAAGTAAAGGCAGAAAACACCAAAAACAATTTCAAGTTTTCCAATATATAAATGCAAATGTTTGAGTACACTCAGACATTTAAATGAAAGATTATTAAAAAGGCAATTTTCTATATAGTATATTCCTTCTCTTCATTACTTTCTTAGAGTTGAATTATTTAATCAGTAACAACTTTAAAATAAAATATAAGCTGTGACTTAACCACCAGCTTAATTTCCAAAAGCAAATCTCTTTTACAAGTTTTCATACTTTTATTGTTTTCCCCAACTCTACCCATACAACATGTGTCACTGAAAAGATTTTATTATAAATCATTTTTAAAAAAGCAAAGAGATAAATAAAAATAATAATTTATTTCAATCTGCACAATCTTGGGGAAGTTACTTAACCTTCAGTCAAGAGGAGTCAGTTTCCTTACCTGGAACATAGGATTAATAATAGCACCTGACTCACTGTCTGTTGTGGAATGAAACAAGGTGTATCATGTACAACATTCACCTCAGGGCCTGGAAATAACAAGTGCTCAACAGAAAGTATTTTACTATTGCTTTGTATTAGACTTTGATTCAGTAGATCAGGGGTGGTGACTGAGAACTAGGACCTTGGGTGATTCTGAAGTAACCCATTTCTGCACTACCAGTGGTTCTCTTATCTTTTCAATATTAATAAAGTAGAAAAAAGTTCACACTAAATAGTGATTATACTTTTAATATTCGGTGGTGAAAGAAATGCATAATGACAAAGCTGCTCTGAATTAATGCTTTGAAATAAATTCGTGTGATTTAGTTTAACACAATGTACACATGTGAAAACAGTAGTATAAGTATTGTATATTCAGTCCAAAGACCGTGCCCATTTGGTATTACAAATCCACTTTTTAAATTAAAATGTAATTGAACTATAATATTGCATTAGCTCTGGGCACATAATCATACTCTTACATTCTTAAATACCCCTATAAAATTTTACAGCCAAAACTAGTCCATAAAAAAACAGGACAGAATAGAGCTGGAGCCTGCAATAATTTGAGAGAGATATTCATGCTAGAGCCTGACCCCAAGAAACCTGGAAGGTGTCACCAGAGGGGGATTTCACAGAAACAACTAGCTGTTTGGGCAGAGTAAGAAAAGAACCGAAGAAACGATTTCACTGAATCTTGACTGTAAATGAAAAATATAAGTATGCTTCCACGTAAGATTAATTACCATCAAGTTAAAATCTCACTTGAAGAGGCAACAAAAATAAATTTTATACATGCCCTGTGCATTAGTTCACAGTAGAAAAGTAGTAAAGGCAATGTAACAGACTACTAACATTCATGTGACAAACACAGGACTTTAGGTCTCCAATCCCAGATCACACGGGGCCTTCAAAGAGGGGTCATGCACTTCTTCACTGCCACTGATATTGTGATTAATAGGAAAACAGCAAGTTTTTGTCTTAAGACACTCCTCAAATAATCCACCTTCTACCTTAACATGGGTTTAAATTCAGCCTTAAATAAGCATAATACATGTATCCTGGCCACCGTGGCTCAGTTGGTTGAGCATGACCCATGCACTGAGAAGTCATTGGGTGATTCTACACAGCACATGCCGGGGTGGTGGGCTCCATCCCCAATAGGGAGCATGCAGGAGGCAGTCGATTGATGTTTCTTTCTCTCCCTCTCCCTCTCTCTAAAATCAATAAAAACATATTTTAAAAAATAATAATACATGCAACCGTGAGTGCTTTTGTTAAATTAAAACCCAAGCATATTTCACAATTTCTATACTCACAAGTTTGACAACAACTCTGCCAAGAAGTCGGACAGAATCCGGAGGGTATCTGGGTTTGCAGCTTTTAAGGCATTTGCATTCCCGCTTGTGGTCTGGCCAAGCTTTCTTCTGTTAAGAGTGGGGAGAGCACACAAGACATTAAAAATTTAACTTTCGCTTACACTGGTTTGAGGGTTATCAACATTAATTTAATTTCAACAGCCTAAATGTAACTGCAAAATAGAAAGTGAAGACAGTATTTTCAAACCGGTAATGATCCAGAATTCAGTCTTTACCAAGTATACAATCACCAGGCGTGGGCACTGAGAGTTTCCACTTCACCCCTGTCCTTCAATCCTCCTCACCCCCACCACCATTATTACCTTGCTGGTGGAGTTCATAGAAAGAATCATTATGACTTACTTAATAATTTATAAGATAGTCTTTTAACTGATTAAGTAGGATTCAATAATACACAGTGATTTTGAATACAAAAAGAAAATATACTCCAAATTAGGAAATAAAACACATGGTTCAAGAAAAAACAGGGCAGAGAGCCTTCTGAATTTTCTGCTGCTACAGTGAGCATACAGATATCAGGAGAGCTAACATAAAAAATATAAAACCTTTTTGTTTTTTAAGAAAAACACAGAAAAGGGGTTATTAGCTAAAATGACCAAATGCCCAGTTTGCCCAGGACTGTCTTGTTTACAGTGTCCTTGCCTAATTATTAATAGTGCCCCTTTTCATTCAGAAAAATGTAGCTTGGATGATAAATTATATGGTCACTTAACCCATGATCCTAGCCATGTGCTGGTGAGGCTGAAGAGACCAGTGAGCCAGTCACCAACCTTGCAACACTAGGGATGACAGGGCTAACGCGAAGGACATTCTCTCTCTCTGAGTCTTGGCTCAGAAGTGCCATGGCTTCCCTCATAAGAATTACTCCTACATGAAAATAAAACCCAGATTATCTAATATTTAGCCCTGGTGAGTATGAGAGAGCTAGACCAAATATCCAGTATGTTCTATTCCAACTGAGAGTTGAAAAGCCGATCACTGAAATGCCCGATGCTCACTCACATCACTTCTTATTTCAGAAGCTGTAAGTCTGCTTCCCAACTTCTGGCCCTAAAATTTCCCCTAGGAGGAAATCTCTTTTCCACTTATAGCACAAACATGCAGCACAACCAAAAATTTCAAAAAAGAGATGCAGCTACTTTGAAACTGTGACTCAGATTCAAGTTCAAGCCAGCATTTTGCTCAGAAGAACCACCGGGATTGAGTTGCTGGGTGCAGGCGTGGCTGTCTGCTGCTGCTGCCTAATAACTGAAATCCTGGGGACAGCGTTTACAAGGGGTACATCACTTCTTTCATCTACTGCACTCATGGTTACCTTACTTCATTCCTTTATATCCGCTACAGCAATGTTCTTCATGTAATGTTTGTAATCTTTTATTCTTAATGTTTATACTTCTCACTTCCAAACAACACTGAGCTGCATCAAAGTAAGATGTATATAAAATAAGGTTGCAAAGTTACAAACAGAATATGCTAAAATTATGATAAAAGTTCTATAGCATTTGTTTAACATTCTACAGTGTGTCCGACACATGTCTAAGCAATTAAAAAATATTTCATTTGATTTTCACAATAATCCAAATGGTAGATCCTTATATTAAAGATGAAGACAGTAAAGCTCAACAGCTGGGATCTAACTACTAAGCTACATAAATATGAAAGGGGAGAGTAAAAATTCTTAGTATGCTAAGCATGAGAGCTAAATAATTACTGTGCTGTGAGCTACATTTATTTGAGTTGCCTTACAGGCAAGGCAAAAAAAAAAGGCATAATGGTTTATATAATTCTCATCTGACAGGAAAGAAAAACGCATAGTTCTACCAAGTATTAAATCACAGGGGAATTTATTCTGAGAATGCTAATCAACATACTGGACAATATCTTTAACAATAGTTTACAACTATAATGGCCTTCCATACAGCTACTTCTAATGTCAGTACTCAGTAAAAAGCATAATATTAAAACATAACTCAGTGGGGGAAATATGTTTCTATTGTTCAGGGGGCTAGTCTTGGAATAGCAATTAGCAATTACCAATATGTATACGGTCCCTAAAAAATATGGTTCCATTGCCAAATAAGATTGAAAAACACAACATAATGAAGACCCCCTGCTTAGAGTTTAAAAATCCTATGTTTAGCTTACTAGAAGTTCTAAAACACTCTGCATTAAAGAAACCTGTATACATATACTAGTTCACACAGAGTTGCCCGTGACTGCAATTGCCATCCTTTGGGAAGTTAGGTTGGTACATGCGGACTCAGATATACCTATGTACTTGCTTTCCTTCATCTGGTCTTTAGCGAGAGTGGGTTCAGCAGACAAATTCATGGTCATTTGCACTGAGAGGAAACTAGAATGTTGATATTTTGGTTGCTGACTGAACAGAGAACCATAACTTCGGTGGGAAAGTTTTCATTTGGTGTTAGATGTTAAGAAGCCTGATAGATGCCCAGTGGACTGGCTGTGTGGGCAGGAATGAACCACATGGTGCCAGTGGTCTCTGAAAAAGCACCATCGACTCTGCTCAAAGCCTGAGCAAATATCCAGCTGAAAAAGGACTGCACCTAGTAAAATAAGGCTGAAATCATTTGGACCAGAAGACATTTACAGCAGATTTTAATCAATATTTATCTCAACTACACAGGATCATTCATTACTCCTTTGGTAAAACCTAGTTTTGAGCACCTCAGCTTATCAGAGTGAAATAACTACAAAATATACCCCTAGGTAATGAACCAACTGATCTGCTAGACAACATTATTTAAACATCCAAATTTTTTAGAATTCTTATCAAAAACGAGTTTAGGACTTTAACATAATTAATATTGAGCTTTCATTTCTCAGCAATAATTAGAAACTAGACAATATCTTCCTCAGGGCTATTCCTAGATCACTGCATAAAAACATCAGACAACACATTTATCTTCCCATTTGCTTCAGCAAAAAAAGATATTCTTTTCATCTCAAAGCCAAATCAGATCTATATAAATATTATAAGCAACCACATCACTTGAAACTGGTCAGTAATATAGTGTCAGCTTTACAGCCTACTCCATTTCTTACCAAGATATTAAAATCCACATTTTTAAAACATTAGTTATAGAATTTATTGTTCAGCTTCACCCATCATTTCTTTATAAGGCTTACTAATAGAAGTTTGTCAAGGAAAGGCTTACAACAAAAGCTTTTAAGTAACTGCATTTGACTTTGAAGCAAACAAAACCCTACAATCACACAAAAACATTAGGCATCACCTTCACTCTATAAACTTTAACCCTGGTCTAGATCTCAACAGCATATTGTAATAGAACATGAAATCTGCCAGTTTCTCCCACAACCTTCTTGATTTTCTTTTTTCTATTTTCTTCCATTACTGCAAACACAGGATGTAATTGAGATTTTGTTCACAATCCTGCTGTAATGTTTTCTGTTCTCATGGTTTAAAATTAACAATGATGTACAATAAGCACAAATTAGCATGAAAGACAAAGAAAATTAAAATATTGTGTTAAGAAACAAAGACAATGGGAGACAAGAGTTTAGATGTAAAACAAAGGAAATAAAAGACATCTGTGACTCAATTCCACTTTTTGGTACATGCATGATTCAAAAAGCAACTTCAGAATCTATATACTGTGTGCGGCAAAAGTAGGTTTACAGTTGTTTGTATGGAAAATACAATAATAAATAATTATACAAAAGTAAACTGTGTTTTACATACTCACAACTGTAAACCTACTTTTGCCCCAGCTTGTATTTTCATGTTACAGTATTTATATTGATTCAGAACATAAACTAATGAACTAAACCAGTGCTTCCCAATAGGGATAATCCTGAGAGTTCTTTGAAAAATTTATAGAGGTACTTTTAAAACAGTGCTTGGGGAGCACCATGGGCACTTAGTGGCCAGGAACCAGAGATGCCGGACATCCTGTGTAGGACAGTTCCATACAATGAAGAATTGTTCCAAATCCAATATGACTTTTAAATGGCCAATCACACATTCTATAAAGGTGATGAACTACAAGCCTAGAACTAAACCTCCTTTCATGTATGTAAACATAAAGCTTGTTTTTACATAGTATTAATAGCACTGAATTTTCTAGGTAAATCAAGGCAAGACTGTGTTTTAAGAAGTTTAGCTTAAGTTATTCAATATTTTACAAAAGCATACCACTAAAGGGAACACCATTTATAGTTTGTGCATTACTAATAAAACACATTTTCTAATCTGCACATTGTACTTCCCTTTTCACAGTGACTCTTACAGGTGCATGTACATGAGTTCTTAATTGTCTTCTAGACTAGTCATCTTGAGCAGTTATATACTAAAATACATATTATTTAATAGTAAGTTGTAATTTCCTTTCTCCTTTGTTTCAGTTATGGCATTATATTGATACTCAATTCTGAAAATATGTAACTAGTAGATTGTATTACCTATGAAATTAGAGACTGAAATAAAATTGTCACAGAAAGGTAAAGTTGGGTCTGAGAGAGTTGATAATCCCAGATCTAGAACAATGCTACCCATTTACACATCACACACACACACACACACACACACACACACACACGTAAAAAAATTTTTTAACTGATCTGAGAGAAAGGGACAGTGATAGGGTGAGGGGGGGAGGTAGAGAGGGAGAGGGAGGGGGGAGGGAAGGGGGGGGAGAGAGAGAGAGAGAAACAACAATCAGTTGCCTCTTGCATGTGCCCCAACTGGGGATCGAACCAACTACCTGCCTATGTGCCCTGACCAGGAATCGACCTGCCATTTTTTGGTGTATGTGACAAGGTTCCAACCAACTGAGCAACACTGGCCAAGGCAATAAAAATATTTTTGAAAATACACAGCCTGGGCCCACCCCAGAGATTCTGGCAGCAGCAATGAGATAGGTAGGATCAGGTATCTACATCATTTTTTCATCACTGTAGTGGATCCCATTTGTAGCTAAGGTTGAAAAACCACTAAACTAGAGTAAATTAAAAAGGAGGACATTATATATGTTAAATAGATGAAACAACAAAACACTATTCTATAC